CTGATCACCTCCATGCCACGCCGCATTGATGCAGTAATTCATGCAAAAGGAGCCCCTACCAAGTATTGAGTACATGTACAGTAAATGAACATACTTTCCAGAAGGCCAACAATTCACTAAAAATGTTTTTTTTTATTGGTCTTATGAAGTATTCTAATTTGTTGGTGGGTTTTTGTTAAATGTGAGCCAAAATCATCACAATTAAAAGAACAAAGACTTAAACTACTTCAGTCTACTTCAGTCTGTGTGCATTGAATTTATTTAATACACGAGTTTCACAATTTGAGTTGAATTACTGAAATAAATGAACTTTTCCACGACATTCTAATTTATTGAGATGCACCTGTACCTTCCACCTGAAAGACAATTTAGATTTGGAAAATATTACAGGTTATCTACAAACAGTTTGAATTCATAGGGTGAACAATTGAATATCTATTAAATATATTAGCTACCTCTTCACATATATTTTTTAGCATATTGCCGAGGTAGTTGATTCCCATTGGCTCCCTGGTGAACCACACTTCAGTGTCCTCGAGTTTGCACAAAGGGATGCGCCTGGGATGCAGATAAAAGGCTCCGGCGTTGACAGGACACTTTGATAGATATTTTTTTAAGCTTTCCACGGGACAAAGTGGTTCACCGGGGCACTCGAACATAAATCCTCGTAAATTCTCTCTGTCAGATGCAGTAGGATCTTTGTGATTTTTTGTTTCTGGGTTATGTGCCAAGGTTAGGTATTCCAAGCCATTCTCGTCTTGTCGGAGAACGAAAGACTCTTTAGATAGGTCGCGGTTTCCTTCTCTCCCCCTCCGTGCAAAACACAGCTGTATGTCAAACCAAACTTTCCGTACAAGCCCGATGGGTGTGAATGGGGAGAGCGCAGGTGAATTTTTAATTTTCTCCAGGTCAGACTCCGTGATACGAGGGTGATGAACGCTGGTGTCTTTTCCATTTTTCCTGTAGCGCTTTATAATTGATTTAAAGACGGCATTGCTTGATTTAAAGTCTTTATCATTTATGATGTTGTGTTTTGTGATGTAACGGTTAATACCCGCTCTGATACACTTCAGGCTTGCAACACTGTATTCGCGGCCGGTAGTCTGAACAGAGGCATAAAATTCTTGCAATGTCTCATTAAGTTCAGAAGCCGAGTAAGTCTCAACAGCATCATTTTTTTTCTTCTGATACAAAAAGTCTTTGAATGTGGTAATTGCCCATTTAGTAGTCTTTTTTGTATTAACCTCATCCTTGTCGTCTTCAATCTGCTTCAGCTCTGCTGGTGTTATTTCCTTGTACCGTTTTTCTTTACATTTCTCGTTTGATGTTATATTCTCCAGTTCGTCCAGTTCATCTTGTGCCTCTGCCCATTTATCAAAATTGCCATAATGACCGTATAAGCTAAATGACACGCGAAAATCATCCATTTAGCCTAGCTAAGTAAATCGGAAATGTTTACTGTAACTGTCTCACTCTGTATTACTATTCAACTGTAACTGTATGTTACTATGGTTACCAATGTTTATAGGAAGCGCATTAATATAGAACGTGATTAAACTGACCTGGAACTACCTGTGCAGTTAAACGAATTTAATCAACACCCGCCAGCCAATCAGAATCGAGTATTCAGACAGACCATGGCATGTATATATATAGTTATAAATAACCGATAGTCTTTTGTTTACACATAGAACCATGATTTGCTACTTGTTTACTTTCAGAAACCAGTGGTATCACCGTCTTTCCATCGAATATAGAGAACATATATATATAGATCAGTGGTGCATGACACCGAGTACACGGTGACGTCATCAGCATTGCTGTTCGTTTTCCCGGAAGTGAAAGATCGTATATTTTAAACGCGCACATCCGCTAAAAGCTCCTTATTGTCGACTTTAGGAATCGCGCGCACACGCACGCAGGTGGCCCCAGAACAACAAACAAGCGATAAAAGCCACAGAATTCAGCTTCAGCTAACACGACTCGTATGATCACGTGTTGCTATAGTAACATGCTCTTTGTGCCATAGGCACTGGCGTAGTGCGTCACTCACCGCGTAAAGGCGAAGTACATGAGGCTGAGCACGGTGCACGTGAGCAGGCTGATGGTGTGCGGCTTGTAGAAGAAGTCGATGGTGATGTCCTCCACCTGCTGCTCGTTGATCATGCGGAAATGCATCCTGTAGTTCACATCATCTTTACTCAGAGTCCTGGAGCCGAACGCGGACGCCATGCTCTGCTTTCCTCTCCGCCCCGTTCACCTTTGATTTACCGTGATGTGAGCGGCTCTCTCGCCCTCTCTGGCGTATGCTGCACGAATGCGACCCGGATGATGGCCTTGCATGTGTGCAGCCTCAAATGCATGCGTGCACCACACGATCAGCTGCTCGGGGGGAGAGATGCATGCACGGACCGGAAAGATGCCACGCAACTTTGGGAGAAAACAGAAAATTCTGAAGTCGGGTAACAGGGTTGATTCACAATGGTTTTTACATTACACATCCTTACCGTGAAAAATAATAAAAAATAGCATTAACACCAAATATTATTAACCACTGTATTTTTTTTTAATGAATTTTGAAGATATTTTTTGTTTTCTACACTCTCAGGAAAAAAAGGTACACTGGGACAGAACCCTTTTAAAAGGGACACCTTTGTACTTTATTTACCCCAAACGGTGCACAGAGTGTACATATTAGTATCTTTTGAAAAGATAATACAGCTTTTGTGTCTTTATTTCTGAGAGTGTAAAGTACTGTGTGCTTTGAGAATCTGTTGTGGTTGGTTTTTGTATTTTAACACCTCCTGAACGTCACACGTCCTCAGGTCAGCAGAAGCTGCGGTTTTAACTAAAGAACTCACAAACATGAGTCACACCAGCAAATGTGTTTCACAGCCAGATGTTATAATGAAACCCTGCGTTCTTGGACTGTTAGTATGATGTATTTGAACTTAAATTTATCACAAAACCAACAAAAATAATAAATTAAATTTTTTTTTTTGTAAAACTAAATGGTTAAACTCCAATCAGATGAACTTATATAACTAATATATAATATAATATAAAATTATATATTTTTTTTATATATATATATATATATAACCAAATTATATATTACACATTTTCAATATCCTATCAATATCCTTCAATATCAATATTCTTATATATTAAAATATATATAAATTTTTAATATCCATAAAATATAAGTAATATAAAATTAAATAGATTTAATAAAATATACATATATAAATTGTATATTATTTTCAGATATAGCAGCTTGACTGATTATATATAATTAAATTATTTATTATAATTTAATTATATTTAATGTTTAAATAAAAAATAGTATATTTAAATTATATAATTAATATAAAAATTAAATATGAAAAATAATAAAAAATATCATTAACACCAAATATTATTAACCACTGTATTTTTTTTTAATGAATTTTGAAGATATTTTTTGTTTTCTACACTCTCAGGAAAAAAAGGTACACTGGGACAGAACCCTTTTAAAAGGGACACCTTTGTACTTTATTTACCCCAAACGGTGCACAGAGTGTACATATTAGTATCTTTTGAAAAGATAATACAGCTTTTGTGTCTTTATTTCTGAGAGTGTAAAGTACTGTGTGCTTTGAGAATCTGTTGTGGTTGGTTTTTGTATTTTAACACCTCCTGAACGTCACACGTCCTCAGGTCAGCAGAAGCTGCGGTTTTAACTAAAGAACTCACAAACATGAGTCACACCAGCAAATGTGTTTCACAGCCAGATGTTATAATGAAACCCTGCGTTCTTGGACTGTTAGTATGATGTATTTGAACTTAAATTTATCACAAAACCAACAAAAATAATAAATTAAATAGTTTGACTGATTGTTATCCAGTATTGCGCAGACAGATGATGAGAGGTTAAAAACAGTACTTTAATAGTGAGCAAATGCACAGAAAACTATAAGCTTATTGTGCACATTTACATGTATGCATTTGGCAAGCAAGTTTATCCAGCGATTTACAGTGCATTCATGTTAAACATTTGATTTATTCACACTCTGGGAATCGAACCCATGACCCTGACACTGCAGCACAGGCTGAGCTACAGAAACAAGGCATTAAACAAACATTTATATATACATTCAGTTCAGATGTAATTAAAGTTCAGTTCACAAATGGGTCATTTGTCCTCGATCTGACCCGTCCAATCAAACCTCTTGCTTGATGGTGATCAAGGGCTGCGTTGAGACAAAGAAAAATAAAAGAGATTTCAGTGCGTTTGAACATTGTTCAGCGTGTTTTGTTGTTTTCAAGCATTGGTTAAATTACCAGAGTGTTGAAATGTGCTCGGCACACGGCTTTACTCTCCCAGTAGATCAGAATCAGAGCCAGAATCAACTCGAAGCCACACAACACACCGATCACCACCTTCAGCCCCACAAACAATTTTATCTGGAGAAAAACAAATCTGGGCTGTTAGGCTGTAAAATGAAAGAAATGAATGAGATTTATGGACATTTCTGTAACTCTGGCTTCAATAAGTTATGAAGTTATGAACAATCACAAATTACCGGACCCGGATGTCCTTCATTTAATATTGGACAGAGAACTATAGCTACGATGGACCAGAAGAGACTGATAATGTTGAATGCGAAGGACAGCTTCACCTTTCAGGAGATAAATCATCACATTCAGTTTCAAGCATGATCAGATAAAAGGTTATGAACAATATTTGTCCTCTGATCACTCACCACAGGCATGAATGGAGAATTTCCAGCTGCAAATGTCAGAATGCCACTTGCAATGAACTAAAAGATAGATTGTTAAAACAGACTTCAACACAGATACAGATGTGTGTGTTTACACTGATGAAAGTTCAAGAAGGAGCTGTGATAGATGCAGACTCACCAGGGCACTAGGTAGGGTGTACACTAGATGAGACCGACCGTATTCAAGAGTAATGAGGCTGCCGATGCAAATGACAAACACTCCGATGCTGAGCTGAGCCGCCTGAAATATTCATATAAATAATAATAAAACAGTCTGAGATCAGAAGTTCTCCATTAAAAACCTGCATAAAGCGTAAAACAAAAATCTGTTAGACTCTGTTAGACATTATTTCTAGGTGACTAATGAAATGTAAATAAATTAATGTCATTGATCATGTGACTATGCACTGAAAAAAATGATACAAATTTTTTAAAGGTAAGTGGTTGCAAACAATTTATTTTAGCTATGTTTAAATAAATTTTTTTTTTGAAAGTTAGTCAACTAAATTAGTTTATTTAAATGTAGCTAAAATACATTGATTGCAACCACTTACCTTAAAAAAATTTAGCATATTCAAGTGAAAAATTTAAGGGGGTCTGAATACTTTCCGTACCCACTGTATATATATATATATACTGGTTAAATTTTAACATACTGGTAAAAAAAATTATAGCCTGAATGCACTGTAAGTCGCTTTGGATAAAAGTGTCTGCTAAATGCATAAATTATTAAATTAAATTATTAATTATAAATTATATATATATATATAAATAAAGGTAATTGCAATCTCACATTTCTGAAATTTTTTCTCACAATTCAGATTTTTTTTCTCAGAATTGCGTGATATAAACAAAAACTTTGATATAAACTCGCAATTCCAAGTTACGAAGTCAGTAATTGCGTGATATAAACTTAAACTGCAAACTGCGAGTTTATATCTCGCAATTTTGACTTTATAATATGCAACTACAAATTATAAAGTCAAAATTTTGAGAAAAATCAAAGAAAAGTACAGAAATAGGGAGCAAAGCGCAGAGCAGTAAGCAAGAACGTCCGAACGGTAGCGAAGCCGGAAGCTGTCTCACAACTGAGACAGTATAACAATATAAACTCACAACTGTAAGAAAATTTTCCGTCTTTTTCCCCCCTCAGAATTGGATTTTATAACTGAGAAAAGAAGTCAGAATTGCGAGATAAAAAAATTATTTTGTATTTTTATTGAGTGGTGGAAACAGGCTTCCATATGTGACGAATAATGATCAGATTGAGTTTTCAAATTAAGTTTTGTACAGCATTCAGTACAAAAATCCCACTGACATGTCTCAAATACAAATCCCCTGTATAGTGAATTCCCGTTTATTTTCTCTGAACAGACAGTAAAGTAGTATGTGTATATTTGATGGAAATCTCTAGTTATTTAAAATGATAACATATAAATGCTCATGGGTGTGGAATCAGGGTCACAAATCCACCCGCATTCAGGCCAAAAATACCACTGAAACTGACTAATTCCTGTTGATTTTCTCTTAACATCTGATAAACTACTGTCTAGTTTCTCTGCAGATACTAAACTGAAACTAAACTCTAAAAAACACACCAATGTGAAGGAAACACAACAACTACATCAATATCCACAGTTTTTATGGAATAATAAAGGTAAAAAATATAAAATATTTAATAAAGTAATTTTTTGCAACATTTTTATGCATTTAAATGTGGTACGTACCCCGAGTTCCTTTGGTCGTCCTTTAAGAAAGATCTTGTAAGCGTCTTTGAAGACGCAGGTGAATTTCTCGGGCATCAGCTGGCCGTCTCTCATGTTCCTGAGGTTTCCCAGAGGAATGTTGATGACCATACAGTCATCCGGCTTAAACGTGTAGCGCATCTCTCCACCCAAAACAAGAGGCATGGAAGAACTCTCAAAGTTATGAACAAACCTTTACAGAAAGTCTTTAATAACATGGTCACACTTTATTTTAAGGTCCAATTCTTGCCATTAACAAACCACTAAGTATGACTTTTGCCTCAATAAACTCCTAATTTGCTGCTTATCAATATTTAGTAAGGTAGTTGTTAAGTTTAGGGTATTGGGGAGGATTATAAATGTAGAATATGTGCTTCATAAGCACTAATAAACAGCCAGTGTGTTAATAATAGGCATGCTAAGAAGCAACTAGTTAATAGTGAGAATTGGTCCCTGTACTAAAGTGTTACCAAAACATTAGTGCAAAAACATTTATACATCATTCATGGAACATTTTTTCTTAAATGTTTTTACTCATGTAGCTTTTTTAAGGGGAGACACTGCAGGCAAAAACACTGTTTTTTCATGCACCTGCAATCTAAAAAATGCTGGGTTAAATATAACCCAGCGCTGGGTTAAAAAGGGACAAACCCAGCTATTGGGTTATATTTAACCCAGCATTTTTTAGAGTGTGTCAAGTTTGAGATTTTGGGCTTTTTGTTTAGTTTTTTTTTTTACCCTATTCACCTGCAGTGTCTCGCCTTAATTAAACGTTGCTACTTTTTGAAACGTTACTTTGACGTTTTTCAAACGTTACTAGTTTCAGGAATGTTCCGAGAACATTCAAAAGTAACAATGTTTGCAAAATTCTAAAATGTAACATTTAATGTTTTCACTAACGTTCGCAGAAGCAAGAAGAAAGAATGTTTGAATGTTCAGAGAAATAACGTTTTCATAAACTATAATGGGAACTTTTTTAAAACTTGGTGTTAGTTTGGGTTAAAAAAACATGTGTCAGTCAGTTGCTTCCTTCTTGAAACTCTCCCTTTTTAACACTCTGCCAAACAACTCCACACTTCATTTTAACACACTTCAACTAATATTTAGGAATTTTATTCAACAAAGTATGAAAAGTGATTCGACCCACCCACACTTTACAGAATGTGACCATTTTAACTCTGCATATAGGAAGTCTGGGGTAAATTCAGCAACTTATAATACAGTGAATAAACCCAGATTCATTTCTCTGAAAGACCTAATAGCATACATACAGATCCTGATGGCAAATCAGCAGCCACATTCTCTGAATCTCACTCTATTCTTCTGTAAGAGGGTTTTGTGTTTTATTAGAGTCTCTTAGTGCTAAAAATGCCTTACCCGCTGGATAAACTGAAGTCCAGATGAAGAACTTCTGCAGGTTTGTGTGTTCAGATAGCAGAAGTTTCTCCGAGAAGCGCAGCTCAAACGCTCACATCATCACTTCTCACATCACAGTTCCTTTTATTTTTTTTGACCAACCACATGAAAGTGGCTTGTTGGGTATCAAAAAAAAAGCACTGAAGTGACACCATGATCTTTTCTCCACTATAATACGGAAGACAGACTTGGCTCGGTAAGACGCTCAGTAACTTTGCATTTATGTGCATTTTTATAGAAATATTAGAGCATATATTCAGAAGATGTAGGATTATATTATAATGATTAGATTGAACATTAAAGCCAAAACTATTTATGAAACTGAAATGGTTGGTGGTTGAATGGAAGAACACGAAGAATCCTAAACGAGAAGCATGAATGCATTTCAATGAGGGTTTCATGCTTATTTACAACTTCTGTTTAATTCATATTGTGTTTTATTAGCTTTTGCCCAGCATTTGATTTCTTGGATTATAATTCTTATGAAGCAAATGTACTTTCTATTTTGTGAAATCAGTTGCAAATTAATTTAAGTTGAATCAAATTGGCTTTACAAGTCATTGCAACAAATTATATTAAACTGACTTTTAAAAAAAATCTGATTTAATCTCATAAAAGATTAAGTTGCAATTGGTTACATTTATGAGTTACAGTATTTTTTAATGAAGATTTTATGCATATTTACAAACAGTAAATTACAAATTTCATTCTTTTGCTTCACATTTGATTTCTTGGACTACAATATTTATGAAATATACAACAGAAGATTGTAAAACTCTCTTTGAATACATTGTTAAAATCAGTTGCAACTTAAATTAAGTTGAATCAAATTGGCTGTATGAGTTATTGCAAGTTAAATTATATTAAACTGACTCAAGTTGAATCTTGTATAACTTAAAAAATTAAGTTTAAAATGGTTAACTAATTTTGATAAGTTAATGTAATGGAAAAACATGTTGACTTATTGATTATATAATTTTTACAGCGTATTTTAATGAGGGTTTCATGCATATTTACAAATATTTACAACATGAGACTTCTACTTATTCAATTCATGCTTTTGCCAAGCATTTGATTTCTTGGATTATAATATTTATGAAATATACAACAGAAAGCAGACTTTTTTTTTTGTAATACACTGTAAAAAAACAAACAAAAAAAAAACGTTGCAACTTTTTAAAAATTTTAAGTTGAATCAAATTGGCTGTATAAGTCACTGCAAGTTAAATTATATTAAACTGAAAATCTAGTTGAATCTTGTGTCTGGGATCTTATCATTAAAAAAAATGAAGTTGAAATTGGTTATTTTGAGAAGTTATGGAAAAACCGTCAGTAAACTGTGTGTTGAAATATTCAAGCGTGGGAATGAATTCTAATGTGTTTTATGGCTCGTATGTGTGTTTATTGTCAGAATATGGCCAGGGCAGATATTGAAATGGACATTCAGAGACACGAGGACTCGGCGGGAGGAAGACATGATGATGAAGGGCCGCTCATCAAGTATTACCGGGCCAGTGAAGTTCTGCCGGGCCCCGTGCCGGCGCTGCAGCGGCTCCTCAGGAAGGGACCGGCCACCTGCGCCGTGAGACTCGACACACATTCACTGCCATTATATTATAAGAGCCCATCAATGTTTGCCAAAACAAAGGTTGCTAGGGCATTGCTTGGTGCTTCTGGTTAAGTGTTTTGTAGAAGCACAAAGTGAGAACAGGCTGAAGACTGAAGGTTAGATTTAGGTGTTACAGTCAGAAATGTCCAGTGACCTGCAGTTGCTCCCTTAAAGATCTATTTCTGCTTAATTTAACCCATAAAAGTTAGTTTTGTTGGTATACATGAATGCATTTTTAGGGCACAATGTACTTACAGTATATTTCTTACCTGTATTTTGAATTTTGCTATCCATTGTGCTGTGTTTTAGGGTTAGTGTCCAGTATTTTTATTTTTGGTATACAGTGTACATGAATTATTATTATTATTATATAAATACATATTTTAAATAATGCATTAATAATAAAATATAATGTATTTTTTATTGCATTACAGTGATAATTTTTTTTAGGGAAAATATGCTTAAAAAAGAAAATATATTGTATAAATTTGAAAAATTATAATAAATAAAATAAAATAATATATTTTTTGCATAAAGAAAATCAAGCCTGTTTTAAGGACCGTTAAAATTCCTTGCATTGTGACATTATTTTCATAATTAAGCATATAAAAATTACTGCAATTCAATGGGTTTTTAATATTTAAACTGGCATAAATTAAATCCAGTACAATAAATTCTAGCAGGATGTAATAACAAACTTAAACATATACTTTAAAGTCATGAATACACTCTTATAATGTATTAATAAAATGTAAATAAAATATCTTTATTGCATTATGGTGAGGATTTGTCTCTAAACTTTCTTTAAATGTCCTGAAAATAATGTCACAATCCTAAAAGTAAGCTTTATGCAAAATATGATTTCCTTTTTCTTTCTTTTGAATTTGGAATATAATATGACCTAGACATGTTCTTCAGTAGATCCTGTAGAATTTTTACTGTGAAAATCCTATGCTGGTCATGTTTCAGTATTTGTAAATGTGCTTTATTTTCACCCGTAGGCCGTTCAGTCGTCCAGTGGGATCCTGAGTTTTGGGATCGGGGTTGTATTTGCAGTGTCTTTCGGGATCAATAATAATTTCCTGACTTTATTCCGAGTTCCCATCATTACTGGAATAATGGTGAGCTTCATTCCTTCTGCTGTAATTGCTTGACAATATATTTCACTGTGCAGTTCATGCAGGAATACATTCATGATAAAATACCGCATTTTAGATTTTGAGACGTTATAGAGACACATTTCACTAATGCTACAGAAAATAATCAATATATTCATTGATAACGTGCATCATCTGATGCAACAACCTAAATCAGTTTCTCTTTTTCGTCCAGTTTGTCTTCGCTGGAATCTTGTCTAATCTTCTGTACAAACACCCCGAGCTTCTACAGGTTAGTGTGTGCGTTTGAATATTTAAATATTTCATAAATTCAATTTTTGGAAAGTACAAACAATAGTTTTGGTTCCAGACTTGCTTCATTGCTAACATCGGGTGTCTGGTCGTGTCTGGGATCGGAGTGATTCTCCTGATTGTTGACCTGCATCCAGGTGGAAATATGATCCAGAACAAGGTAGGCTTAATAATTATCAACAATTCCTGTAGTTATGAACATTTATACTTCACATTTACTCTTGCATCGAGTTTTATTAAATGCATAAAACATGTTTTCAAATTTGATAGTAATAGATGCATATATCAACATTTATAATTTCTGAAAGATACCAAATACAAAGTGTGTGAATCTCACAAAAACACAACCAGGTCAAAATCAAAATTTTATTTTATAATATATAAATATTATATTTAATAATAAATACATTTATTATGAATTAATATAAATAAATGCATTTTGCACAAAGAATATCAAGCTTATTTTAAGGACAATTAAGATTATTTGCATTGTGCATTTTATGACAGTTAAGCATATTAAATTTACTGTAATACAATGGGTTGTTTATTTGAAATAAGCATAAATTGAAGGCAATGAAACAAATTCTATCAAAATGCATTAAAAAAGCCTAAATAAATCTAAAATATTCTTTAAAAATTGCTTTTAAATAATGTATTAATAATATGTAAGTGTTACATCTTCATTGCATTACAGTGAGAATTTGTAGGAATAATATGCTTAAAAAGATGCAAAAGTAAAAAGCTTTAAAAAAAAAAAAAAAAAAGAATGGTAGATGATCTTAAAAAATGGCTTTCGTTTCTTTCTTTTGATTGTGAGGTGAAATATAAGCTGTATATGAGCTTTACAGGCTTCATGAAATTGATGCTGTAAAAAACCATTACGCCTATGGGATGTCCCCACTTTTCACAAAAACAAACCTGTGTGTGTGTGTGTGTGGTTTTGATCTTGCAGATGGAGGTTCTGGTGCTGTGTGTGACTCTGATGGACATGCTCATCGCTGCGGTGCTCATATACTGGTTTTACAGAGAGAAGCGTGACCATAAACAGTGACGACGTGATCTAACAGTCCTCAGCTCAGCCTTTCTCACAAGCAACAGGAATAGAATTAAAGAACTAAAGAAAGCAGAAGTATCTTCAGTGAGTAAGAGCAGATTCTCCTCCCGCATGAAGCTGAAAACGCTCAAGATCCGCCGCGGGAATCACAAAAAAAAATTTGACTGAAGAGAGATGACGTGCTAAACGTGGATGATTTGACTTTAATGTGGCTTATTATCAAATAAAAATACATTTATTATTGTTTTGTTTATTGTATGAATGCAGAAGTGAAGCGGTGATGCTGCTTGCAGCTTTATGTGTTTGTGTTTTATTAGCTGTAAAGCTGGATATCATTTCATATTTTCACATTTATACATTGAATTAATGTAATACAAAATAATTATTTTTGTATGTTACTTATGAATTTGAGTTAATAAACTGCACAATGCAATTCAATGCAATTTTATTCAGAGATGTATTTTCAAAGTAAAAAGATGGACATCTGGATGATTTGGCTTTAATGTGATGTATTAGCAAGTAAAAACACGTTGTTATTTGAGCTTTTTATTTCCTGTAAAGCTGGATATTATTTCTACATATTTTTTTTTTTTCAAAGTAAAAAGATGGACTTACATCTGGATGATTTGATATATATATATATATATATATATATATATAATTTATTTTAATATAATTATTGAAAAATGTAAAGAAAAAAATAAGAATATATATATATATGAATTAACCAAAAAAGGTGATTCAAAACGGGTACAGCTTTATTTGTTTATTGTGTTTAATTAGATGTAAAGCTGGATACTATTTCTTTTTACATATTTCCATCTTTATACATTGAATTAATGTAATTCAAAAAAACTTATTTCTGTATGTTACTTATGCATTTGAGTTGGGAACCATTTAAATAAATCACAAAATTCAATCTGATTTTATTTACTCTTTTATTTTTATTTTCATAGTAAAAAGTCGGACTCAATCCTTAATAAAAATGCAATCCTGTCTGGATTGTATTAGTAGTCCAGAACTCAAATCATTCAGCTATTTGTACAGTCAGAAATACTGAGTCAGATGTCGAGTGGTGAAGTCTCTGAAGTCTCCCAATGAAAGAAGTAAAAGTAAAACACCTGAAATCATGTACATCTGTGACCTCGGTCCTGTAACGTACCAGCACTGCTGAGGAGCTTCTATTCTGCACTGCAGTCAGAATTCATATTCATCAGCGAGGCTCTGGACGATTATCAGTCTATGAAATGATGAAATGTCTCAGTGCATTTGATCTCCGTCTGTCCGAAAACAAACGCTGTCCAAACGCTGCTTTCCCGTCTCTCTGTCTCGATGGATTCACAGCTGCATTGAAAAACAAAAGAGAAGTTGATGTGTAAGTCACTGCTAATAGTTTGATGTGTATTAAAGGCCGTTCACACTGACAGTGATCATGAGTACCGCTGGTTGCATGATATATCAAAATAAAATTGATTTTGAAATAAGGATTAATGCAACAGTCAAATTGTGTCCATTTACATTTATTCATTTAGCCAAAGAAGAACCAAAGCCGACAATAATCCTTATATACAATGCTAAATTATTTATTAGACAACTAGATTTACCCACATGCATGCATTTTCCAACGTACAGTTGTATTATTTTTATTACTCATTTTTTATTTTAAAATAATAGCATTATTGCAATAGGTTTCTTATTTTAATATTTTTAATAATAATCACAAAGAGATTTGATTTTGTTTCAACATTTTTTTTTAAATATATTTTTTTTATTTAAATTTTTTTAAGGACCGTTAACACTTCAGCTAGTGTGTCATAATCCTAATAGTCTCACACATGACTGAAATTTGCAGAATAGTTTCACTATTATGTAAACGATTCACTATTATGTTCAAATGTTATGTATTTAACTTTAAATCTTTTTAATGACTGCCAAGGAAGTTGATAAAAGATTTCAAGTTCTGTACATTAATATCCTTCTTTTAATCTGTGGTAGACTCGATCATGGGCGACATAGGGTGGCAATGTTCAGCACAGAATGCTTCCCCTCGCTTAGCTGTCACTTCATTTATCTTCCAAATGCAATCTTCCAAGTTAAAATGCAATAAAATGTGCTACCGTTACTGACATAGCCTGACAAACAGCTATTGTTGACAGTTTTCATCTAAAATGGACAATGCATCCTTGTCACAAATTATACACAGTGACTAATTACACATAGAGAGCCATAAGAATTAAATATTTTAATGTGAGAATACAGCTTATAGCACAATTAACATGGTTTACTGTACACTAGTCACTAGCATGACGTTTAGGTAATCTCGATAATGACAAATGTCTGTATTTCAGAATGGTTTCATAGTGTGAAAAAGTACAAAAGTCACTGTGTCAACGGAGCACAATTAATGGTCTATTAGCCACTAGAAATTACAGAAAAAGATACATATTCACTTATATGAACTCACTGGATTTGTATTAAGAACTCTTGCATAAATCATCACATAAAATCTTAAATAGAAGTCAACACCAAAATGCATACATGAAATAATTCTACATTACATTTTAACTCATCAAAGCCCATTTCTTTGATATAAATAATAAACATTCTGAACAGAGAACTGTTAATACAGAGCATATACAGTAGATATACAACTTGTGAATCCAACTAACAATGTAATCACAAGCTATTGAGACAAGTTTGAAAAGAAAACCTAAAGAGCTTGAGCAAATGTATAGTACTGTAGACTGTTGTTTCATCCATCTGGGACTGGGTGTGCATTTGACAAGCTAAACAGCAAATGACCTGTTAAAAAGTCACATCATTACATTCAAATCAACTTCTATTACTTGCTTCCTTACTGTATAATCACAGATGCATTGCCAAAAAGTGTCAATTCTTCTGTGGCCCACTGATGATAGTTAATCTTACTTTTGTCTAGACTACTTATGTCTGACACTTTCAATTATTCACATTATTGCAGTGCACAACACAGCATTAAACAAAGATGTAAACAAAGTACATTGCTTCATAAACTATTACAATTACTTGAAGCACAGTCAACATCAATAATGTTTAGCCAAGTAAAATGTCAAAAGTGAAACAATCAGGTCTTTTTTTGAAAGGCTGAAAAATCATTAAATCACACATGATTAGATCATCTG